AATGAGTGATAAAGAAGGAGCGAAAACAGTTTGTAGGGGGGAGGGCACTCATAATATCTAATCGAAATGACAATATTTAATCAAAGCAGAGTTGCAGAAAAGCACTGATATTGCACAAAATCGGATACTTGAAAGGCACTTTCTGTGAGAGTTTGCATGGCGATCGCAAGAAAATTTGGTGAAAGTGAAAAGTCAGTAAGGTAGCAGCCATTTTCGCTATGCTATCAGGTTGTCCCATAATTAGTGAATCACTTTGGGCATTTTTCAATTTTAATTTTTTTCTTTTCATATGAAGTGCTTGCTCATCCAAACATACACCTCTGTCATCTACAATGTATTGCCTATACAGGAAATTTAGTCGCTGTCTTATCTCTAGAATTCCAGGAGCTATTGATCGAAGAAAGATCGGAAGTCGAGTTTGAGGTCATGTCACTTAGCGTAAAATTTCTTCCTGAAGAAGAGCGCTAGAGGTCAGACTGAGTTGTCTTTTGTTGGCACGAGGATAGGGCACACGGAGGAGCTGGAAGAACTGCTAGCCTGAGGTCTCCAATTTTTTATGAATATTTTCCGCAAGGTGGGGTCGAATGACCTCAGAAAAAACAGACTTTGTCTTGCTTTCATCTTCAGATAGAACGCGTCGCCATTATTTGTCGGCGTTTGTCTTACTCACTAACCTAGCATTACTGGGCAGCATACTAGTAGCGCAAAGCCCTTTTCTTGCTCCTCCCACGTATCATAGGGTTTCAGCGGTAATGAGGCTTTTGCTGTCAGAACTCCCGAATCCTTCAAGCTTGGCTACTGCTCCTTGTGAATTTGCTAGCACACTCCACCCAGTTCATAACACTGGTGAATAGGCAGGATTCACTGAAAGGAACTGTGGGAAACCAGAAGGAACACGACGATGTCAGATCGTGTTTAGAGCTGATTAGGGGATAAAGCCAGGGTCAAGCGTATCACCACCTGTATCACCTGTCGTCCCGTTGATCGTCGATTGCTCGAGCGGGCGCCAGCAACGTCTCCATTCGTCCCTGTCGCGTGCTAGAGTTGGTCCAGTGGATCCTCCTCGCTCGAGGGACACGAAGTCCTTCATTCCTTTCGTTCAGAGCTTTCGTGAAGAAGTCTGACCATCGGGCCGGCGGTCGTCCAGGTGTTCGTTTGACGTCCCGAGGGATCCAGTCGGTAACCGCTCTGGTCCAACGGTCATCGCAAAATCGCATGACGTGTCCGGCCCACCTTATCTTCGATTCCTTGGCGAAAACGGCAGCGTCCCTGATCTTCGATCGTTGGCGTAGTTCGGAACTCCGGATTCCCCTCTGCACTTGCGTGTATAGGGTTACTCCTAGCATCGTCCTCTCGACAGCGCGTTGGATAACGCGCCGACCGCATGCTCGTCCTGCCTGCGCAGAGTCAAGTCTCTGAGGTTGTGCTAAGGTTTTTAGGGCAGGACAGCGGAATCGAAGAGGTGGGCACGGAGCCGGATGTTCTTCGTCTTCTTCACTACTCCCTCGATGTTCTTGAATGCTCCCCATGCCGCTCGTTTCCTCCTGCTCAGCTCTGGAGCTAGATCGTTCATCATATTGATTTCCCGACCTAGGTACACGTAGCTGGAGCATTCGGTGATGTTCGTTCCGTTGAGCGTGAATGGGGCATCAGGAACCAATCCGTTTCTCATAAACATCGTCTTCGTTAGGTTCAGCTGTAGACCAACCTTACCACAGGCGCAGTCGAAATCAGCCAGCATTCGCTCCGCTTGCTCGATGTTCGGCGTTATAAGAACGATGCGCCGGTTCGCGAGTTTCTAGTTGGGTTGCGGCCCATGCAACCGAAAGAGGACAAGTGCGCCATTTAAAGGGCTTGGGGTGTCGTGCCAGGGATGGTCCTGTATGGAAATTGCATTTGCGCGGGACTCGACACCCCAAGCCCCAAAATCAAATCGGCCTATATTTTTGTTTGATTTGTTTGTTTTGAAGGGCACTTTTTTCATCTTTACGCTAATCAAACTCGATAACGCTTCTCGCGGGATGGGACACGATATCCCAGTAAGGGGTTTTGTTCGTACTAGACCATTCATTGATGGGGGAAAGGGCTCAATGCGAGTGATCCGTGGATTTTTGTTCAGTTGAATCAGTTTTCATGTCACGGTGAACCCTTTACGTTCAACAGTGTTCCGGTGTTCTGGATCCTTCGGCGCCACGAGGCACTGCTCATTATGTAACCGCTTTATTTCTCCTTGAGCAGTCTCTCAAAT